CTCAGCCGGAGTTAGGGGCTGGTGTGAGCTGTCAGATTTGCAGGGTGATATCTCAATTAAGCAAAATAGGAAAATCTATTGTTTATGGGGGTGTGAGAGGGTATTTCCAAGCCGCAGGCTTTAAAATAGGAACAAGAATGTGTTCGGTCAGCCTGAACAGCGCAGGAGGATTTTGGGGAGGACTCCTCCTTTGTGACACATGCAGCATAGACATAATGAATTATATTATAATTACAAAGCACAGTCTGTAGAAGTGGACAATATAGATATTTGGCCAGGGGGTGGAGTGTGCTGCTCCATAGAGACTGGGCCACTCCAGACTGCATTTCTATTCAGATCACTTTAACTTAGACAAATCTCAATATGAATGAATGGGGCTTTGTTCAGAAAATAAAAACATTTCAACAAGGACGCATCATTTTCTCATATGCTGGGGGCACATAAGCAATTTTACACGTCTGAGCTGCCAAGGTTTTACTGTTATTTACTTAGTCAAAAAGTACTCGTATCTATTTATAAATCCAAAATAAAGGACAAAAAATACAAGTATGAGCAATACCCCTTCAACAGATAAATGTTTGTATAGGCAGCAATATGTTACACTAGAGAACACTGGTTTGCCTGGAAGAGCATGCTCTGTGTGGTGATGGTGGAGGTGTATTGTGGAGAGATTGGGCAAAGCAGAGTGAGCAGAGAAGCAGAGGGGAGTGAAGCTGGCAGTGACTGAGAAGATGAGGATTTGACGGCAAGGTGACAAAGAGTTCAAACAAAATGAGGCTTGTAGATTAGCAGCACTCCCCTCAGTGACAGGTGTCATCTCTTGGGGCAGTCTGTCACTCTGCCTGCTGCCACTCTTTATATAATATGAGGAGAGAGAGATGGAGAGAGAGGAGGAGAGGCACCACCACTTGCACCTCACAAGGCATGGCCTAGCCTGCTCTACCTACCAGTAACCAAGATTAAAGCCTACAGTAAGTGGCAGAGGGAGAGCTGGGTGAACAATAGACAAGCAAATGTTTATTTTTATGTTGCCAGTGATTTTGCTTTAACTATTTCATCATAACCAGAAGCTTCTCAGTCAAAGTCAATGTAAAATCACTTAGTCAGGGACATTATCTTATAATAGAGAAACACTAATGTCCATAATTACTCTTTGACACTGAAGTTTGAGGGTATGCTATTCAGGCAATTCAAATTACTTTACATCTTTCATCTGTGTCATATTAATCAATCACTTTCCGATTCCTGGATGTATTAGGAGGGGATGTTAGAAATCACTGAGTACGACTCTATTGTGGCAGTATTAGATTTTTATATAATTTTTGCATCAGTGTCTTCATGTGTCAATTTAATTAGTTCAGTTATCCAAAAAACAGATATCAACATCTAGTATTTTTTATCCATAAACAGTTTCTAAATTAAATGTACACAATATCTACTATATTATGATATACTGTATATCAATATAACAGTTAACACATGTGGTGATATAACAATTTATTTTACACGTGTATATATAGATATATATATATATATCTATCTATATCTATATCTATATCTATATCTATATATATATTAAACACTGTATTCCCTAAAACACAAATGAGGGCTCG